TGTCACGGTTGGAAGCCAGCGACTAACCGCTTCAGCTATGGCGCGGCCATAATTCTTAGTTACTCCAAACCTTATCTGCCTTTATTAATTAATGTGAAAAGTAATAATGTGTGGAAATGTTTACTTTGATTTTTGTTTGTTGAATAGCATAGCTCTTATTTCTTAATGTTCATCATCTTTAGACGTTTACATTATTATATAAGTTGTCTATTGAAAGTGACATAAAAGTGTCTACAAACATTGAGTGAAACATGTTATCACAGCTGTCATTTGTAATGAACCGCAGGTTAACAGATAATGGGGCAATTGTATCCATGTCCTGAAAATGAGTGATAGTTAGGGGCAAGATGTGTAAAAGTTGTCTGTGTTTCCTCGCAGAGATTCAGAGGATGAAAGTAAATTTTGCTGTAAGAAGAAGTGGTCTAGCATTCAGGTATGAATGGTGGAAGTTTTAAATTACAACACAGATAAAATTATCATCATTATACAAGTATTCTAGATTATTTCAGGATTTCAAGGCTGTTTTTTTTGGTGTGGTTTATTTTACGATGCACTTAGTATCTCAGACTACATATTGTGAAATAGTAGGATGACGTGTAATGAATTTGAAAAGATTTGGAAGAAAGCAGTCATGGCCCAGTCTAGGTACTATCCTTATATTTACCAGGATGGATTGAGGAAAAACATGAAAACCTCACGGTACCCTGGTAGCTTGGCCAGTCAGTATGCAAACCAAGCACATTTTGAATATGTCTTGAGTGTCTATAACATTACCATTAAATAAATATGTTCAGCACGTTGGTTGTATGCTGATGTTGGGGATGACACCATATATTTTCTTTTAGTTGGTTATGTAACAGCTGTGTCAGTATCGAGACACTTTAGTGTTGGATGATTGACAATTAGTGGATTTGAAATGGATGGTGGGGGTTGAGGGTGGTATGGATCTCACAGAGGAGCACTAATGCCAGTAGGTGTTTCTTATTAAGTTGTGAGAAATACCCTTTTGCAAAGGAGGCTCTGCCAGAACATCTGAACTTCATACTTCCAATAGGTGGCCAAGGTTGCGTTCCATGGTAAGAGCATGGAGTGTAGCAGATGGGAGTAAGGTGAAGGATGAGTGTCTTGCGCCCTAAAACTGGATCGTTTAGCTAAGACAGTAAACCCTGACAGAAAGTCTGTGGTCCTCTAGCAAGGGAGGAGGTTGCGCTTGAAGTCAACATCCTCACCAAGTAAAATTTGTTAAGGTTCAGAAGCTAAATAAGACAGTCTTGGAAGCAGCCAGGGCCTAAACTGGGCTGTAGAGCCAGTGGTAGTAGTAGTAAGTAAAATGAGAATTAACAGGGGAAACTGAAGTAGTTGGAGAAAACGTGCCTCAGGACCACAGTCCCCAAATGATCCGATCAAGGATTGAACCTGAACCGCCAGTCTGGGAAGCAGGCAGCTGACTGCCTGAGTTGTGACGGAGTGGGCAACATGTTGAAGTGGGCTGTATAGCCATGAATCTCCAGAACGTTGGTGCAGCCAACCAAAACAGGTGTCAGTATCAGCATACAACTGACTGCCATCATGTCCTTGAGAAAGGAATTATATTTGTACCATTCTGTTTGCAGGACGGAATGCCTGAAGCTACTTGTGGCAGTAACCATACTAACGTGTGCAACAGAGGCAGACCGTGCTGAAGCTCTCAACAAGTGGATTCAAGTTGCAATAGACACAAAAACTGCTCTAGGGAACCTTTATGGTTTCTGCGGAGTGATGATGGGACTCTGCATGCCACAGGTGAGCGCTAAAAGTTGAAACCCTCAAAAGTAACTTTGCTTTCATATTCTGTGTATGTACGAATATGAATAATCCTCTTATTTGACAGATCAGACAGATCATTTGTATAAGACTTAAAGCTTTCATAGTGATGTAAAAGTGATTAAATATGACCAGAAACAAGCCAAATAAGTTCAGAGACCTTTTCTACCTCTGTCAGGGAATGATGTCCTCAATAAGCACTGTTGTACATATATACACACACATTTAACATGTTACAACTCTAAACCACAGTAGTAACTCAATATGCTATTTGTTTTAATATCCTCAAACTCTGTATTTTTTACTGAGGGGCTATGCTACAGGCGCTACAGGTTGCGCGTTCAAGTCCTGGCGAGGTCATTGGATTTTTTTCAGTTGACCTAATCCTTCCAGCTGCACTGTGGCCCTGGTGTGGACTCAGCCTCTAACAGAAATGAGTACCAGGAATATTCTTGGGGGTAAGGTGCGGCTGGCGTGTAAGGCTGACTACCTTGCCGACTGTCTAGAAAATGTGTGAACCTCAACATCTCACAATTCTATGGGCCTCTACAGCCTGTTACCGGGATACCTTTACTTGCTTTAGTTTTTATTATAATATTCCATTCTTATAACGGGAACAATATTTTTGTAAATAAATACAAATAAAATGATATCTTTTATATGTTGGCAGCAAAATTACGACCTGGATATAATTTCTTAGAAATGTCAGGTTCATTTATGTATGTTGTGGATTAACATTAACATTTTAGTACTTATATTTGATATCAGGATGAAATTGTAAATCTATGCATGAAGTACATTTTAAGAATATAATGCCTATTCCTGTTGATGGTTTGCTTCTTGACACACTGTCAGTGCCACATGCTGAACAGCATCAGCCATAACTTTTGTTACAAGAAAGGGCCATGCCATAACTCAGTCACTAACTTTATACCACTGTGACCGGGGTTCGATCCTAGGGTACATTACGTGGGAACTATGAACAAAGTGGCAGTGGGGTAGGTTGTCCTCAAGTACTTTGGTTTCCCCAGCCAGTTTTCAATCCACCAGCTGATACATATTCATTAACCATACAGTCATCGATGCTATATAGTCTCGATACTGACAGAGTCATATAATAACTGTTACAAGAAATTGGAGTGCCAAAATATATGTTGAAACACCAAATAAGAGGCAGAGAGTGAGNAGTTCTTGTAGGTATGAACATTCTAATATCAACGACTGTTGAAGATATTGTTGGTGCTCCATCTTCAACCTACAGATGAAGAGTTTCTGAGATTTAACTTCTGTAATCGGCACTTCATAACTACTCATGACAGTATAGTTGATCTCCTTTTTATAATGAAGCTTGGCTTCATCTCAATGGTTACATGACCTCTGAGAACATATGCCACAGGAATACATCGACAAGATATTTTCCAGAACATAATATACAGAGAAGAACGGCTTATCATGTGCTGTAAACACTGAAAGAATCATAGGACCTATACTCTTTCACGATACAGTTAAATCAGAACAATGTGTGAACGAAATTTAAAATTATTCTTCAAATAAGTGGCAGAAGAAGAAGAAGAAGAAGAAGAAGAAGAAGAAGAAGAAGAAGAAGAAGAAGAGCACTCAGAAGACAGTGTCGATCATGTTTCCCCTGTGTGAGAATGTGCGCGACTTCTAGCTGTGGCAAAATTTCACAACAGGAGGCTTATGGAAAGAACCTAGGCTCATAGGAATCTACAGACTGAAATCAGGACTGTTAATCCAGAATTTGGAGGTGGATGAACTTCATTGTGTGTCTCAGAATTTATGTCAGTGTGAAATATACTTACATGTTAAGAGGACACTACTTTCAGCATTTATAGTGGTATAAGGTAACAAAAGTGGTTTTACAGACAGCATTTTTTGAGTGTGGATGAAACCTCCAATAGATTATACAGTAGCATTAAATTTTCTTATCAGAGAGTAACCCTTGTCCATTCTTGTCAAATATGGATGATGCTTGTAAAGACAGGGAGTTAAAAATGCTCAAATGGTATTGTAACTGGAGTTTTGTGGTTCTCATGGTGATGAATGTTAAGATTAGGGTCACCTGGAATGTGAAGTATATAGGTTAACGTTTTGGAGAAACTGCTGCATACACCTTCAGAACTGAAGACAGATCATGTTCAAGAGTATGCATATGAGCACTATTCTCCTTTTCCTTCTCTGCACTTTTCTTCAGAGCTCTTACTCTACTGATGTAGTCCCAGTCTAGTATTAAATTACATTTTTTGAAAGCGTGTATGCTACAGAATAACATGTTACAGCTCTAAACCACAGTAGTAACTCAATATGCCATTTGTTTTAATATCCTCAAACTCTGTATTTTTTACTGAGGGGCTATGCTACAGGCCTAAAGGTCGCGGGTTCAAGTCCCGGCGAGGTCATTGGATTTTTTTCAGTTGACCTAATCCTTCCAGCTGCACTATGGCCCTGGTGTGGACTCAGCCTCTAACAGAAATGAGTACCAGGAATATTCTTGGGGGTAAGGTGCGGCTGGCGTGTAAGGCTGACTACCTTGCCGACTGTCTAGAAAATGTGTGAACCTCAACATCTCACAACTCTATGGGCCTCTACAGCCTGTTACTGGGACACCTTTACTTGCTTTAGTTTTTATTATAATATTCCATTCTTATAACGGGAACAATATTTTTGTAAATAAATACAAATAAAATGATATCTTTTATATGTTGGCAGCAAAATTACGACCTGGATATAATTTCTTAGAAATGTCAGGTTCATTTATGTATGTTGTGGATTAACATTAACATTTTAGTACTTATATTTGATATCAGGATGAAATTGTAAATCTATGCATGAAGTACATTTTAAGAATATAATGCCTATTCCTGTTGATGGTTTGCTTCTTGACACACTGTCAGTGCCACATGCTGAACAGCATCAGCCATAACTTTTGTTACAAGAAAGGGCCATGCCATAACTCAGTCACTAACTTTATACCACTGTGACCGGGGTTCGATCCTAGGGTACATTATGTGGGAACTATGAACAAAGTGGCAGTGGGGTAGGTTGTCCTCAAGTACTTTGGTTTCCCCAGCCAGTTTTCAATCCACCAGCTGATACATATTCATTAACCATACAGTCATCGATGCTATATAGTCTCGATACTGACAGAGTCATATAATAACTGTTACAAGAAATTGGAGTGCCAAAATATATGTTGAAACACCAAATAAGAGGCAGAGAGTGAGTATTTAATTCGCCCTCTGAGCATGGTTAGTTTGAATTCAAGAATGATGTTGATATTTTGTCTTTTATTTTCTGTTATAAGCCTATCATTATAAGTGTTCTATTATATACAAGGAACTTTAAAAAAAAACAATTATTTTATGCAGCTTACAAAAACCTCCTTCTCCCTGTATTCCTATCACCACATTTCTTCACTGTGCCTATTCAAAAGAACTGAAGTTAGTTTTTATAACATCAATAAATCAAGAATGATCATATTTCCTAGTACCAATATTTCAAGATCTGAATTTTATTCTTGCAGATTGAGAGGTTATCAGCAACGTGGCATGTTCTACGCCAGAAGTTCACTGATAGTGCATTCAACTTTGAGGCTAAACTCCGCCCAACCTTGAAGAGCATGAATGAATGTACTAACCCACAGGCACCAAACACAACTATCCCACATCTGCTTCCATTCATATTACTGCAAGAAAGAACTCTTGACGACATTCTAGGTAATTTAGATGCAGAGTAACAAAACTTTTTCAGAAAACTGTAATTTCCACAGCACAGAGCAAATTGTATAATTCCTGACACAATATAATATACAAAATTCCACTCTAAAATCATAAAATTATATCTGTCTGGCAGAGTATGAGAATTTAATTCTTACTTTCTCTCCATCTGCAATGGTGAAAGTTAAAAACAGCCAGAATTTGCATTCAAATATTCCTCGAAATACAACTCTATAAAGATACTGTCTGTCGGCTATTACATGTTTATGCATAATTCTTTTGTTGGAATACTTTTCTTGCCTCCAAGTTGCTATACATAACTTCAAACATGGCATCCTTTTCATAATTTTTAAGATACAAAAGAATTTTTCGTATAGAATTGTAAGTATAATTATGTCCTGTCTTACCAAATTTCACATGGCTAGCTGTAGCTCTTCAGCATTTATTTTTCTTTTATTTGGTAGTCATTATGTTATTTCAAATTCTTTAGGATGACCTGATGTCATGTCATGTATTCCTTAAGGTACACACATGCACCCACAAAATTTCAAGACCCTAATTAAAATGATAATGTTGCTAACACTGAGAAAGTTCTCCCTCCATCAATAATGCCTGAGATGAATTGAGAAGCATGAAAATAGGACGGTCTGTAACTTCCAATGTGTGACGTTCTTTCGATGTTTCATGAAAGTACAATTAGTTCAAAGGTGTTAAAGAGAGGAAGGGAAATGACTGAGAGACGCACACGCACACAGGACATATGTATGCTTTTATACATCTGCAATCCCTTACAAATCTTAAAACTTTTAACAACAGGTCATATTGAAAATTAAATAACAATGTTACTGGGTATACACAGACCAGCAGCTCATAAAATTCCTACTCTAAGACTATAATACCTATCTTTTGTGTACTATAAGTCAGTGCTACTTCAACAGAATATTATAAGAATACATTCAAATGGTGCTTTTTGTGTGTTCAGTTGTGTACACCATTAACAGGAGCATTGCTTCCAAGTGGTTATGTACTGTCATTACCAAAATGGAATGCTCAGAATTTGTGCCACATGAGAGGTTTCAATCTCGTGTCTACTGATGCCAAATCCCAGTCCTGGTTTCAGGACTGGACTGAAAAAATGTATCATGGAACAATGTAACCAGGCTTTTTCAGGATCTACCTACTTTCTCCCCCACATCTGCCAGGCTCATGATTACTGTCTGGAGGCAAAGTGCTGTCGTACTGCTACGTTATATTTGAAGTTGTCAGACATAACCTTAGTATTCATGCCATCATTGTGTTACTGATTCCCAATCCACAATGAACTATATAACATCTGCATAAGCATTTATGTATTTCAAATTTAATATGACTAGCTGTAATACTTCAGCAGTTTGATATGGAATTCATGGTAAGTATACATTATATATAAACGTTATCTGAATAAAAGTTGTATATTTGCTTTATAAATGTGGTCAATTTTTGGAATATCTGTTGTCATATGATGTTTCAAATATTGACAAAGGGTAGTGTATCATCGCTGTCAGGTCAGAAGCTCATAAATCTTTCCTGGTATTACTGATGATGGTAGCTGTGATGGTACAGTGGCCTCTGATTGGCCATACTAAATTTCCTGAAAGTTACCCAGTTATTCTGAACTTGTTAATATATATATATATATAGGACATATAAAGACATTACAGGCTTATCTTCAGATACAAAATAAGAGAAGCAGCTTAATCATCAAGGATATTCAATATAAGATTTGCATGCCAGAACATTCCTCAATATACCAATGACATGAAGAGTAAAGATTGTAAACAAAATTAAAAACTGTATATACTACAATTGCCGGTCACGGTAGCTGAGTGGTCTAAGGCGTGCACTGTTTTCGCCGGGATCGTGGGTTCGAATGCCACTCAGGGCATGGATGTTTGTGTGCGTTTTTCTGTGTTTGTGTACAGGTAGAGGCCTTGCGATGAGCTCATCACCCGCCCAAGGAGTCCTACCATATGTCTAAGATCTAGAAAAACTGAAGTGAACAGAGAAGTTCATGGAGGTAGGCCTAGGCCCACTGGGCCTGTAGTGCCAAGGAAAAAAAAAATACTACAATTAGTACTGTGTTCACTGTCTTTTTCTATACAATTTTATGGATGGACAGCTCTCATCCATTCACTGGCCAACATGAGATACATCTAACAGGATCAGAGAACAACACAACAATGCTAGAACATGAGTCAGCAAAACTAAGGCAAGGAACAGCGTAAAAACACCACCACACCAAAGTTAAAACTCTAACCATAATGAGAAGAGAGCATTAATTGTAATTTTAACTTTAAATTCAGAAATTTTAATTTTATTGATAAATGTACTGAACAGTTACAGTGTACATACATACATATCAAAGAAATGTACCTGATAGTGATTAAATAATGATCAAAGCATGTTGTGCAAAGAATCATCACCGTGCCAATATTGTGAATGATTAATATAGTCATTTAGCTATGAAACATCACTAAAGCAATGCATTAATGAAGGTTGCTGAACACAGTACTAGTTGAATTACAATGGAGTTCACAGGATGCTACCGCAGAACAGAGTTATACTGTATATATATAAATACTGTACTACCATTGATCTAATATTTCTTACATTATCCCCTAAATTTGAAGTATTAATGAAAATGTTACATTTGTGTGCAGGTAGCAACCCCAGTGGCAACAGCACTATTGTAAGCAGCTGTCTTGGGCCTTGGGAATCAACTGCTGATTTCGGTCTTGGGACATGGTTTGCACACCTGGAAACTGCACGTAAATTTGGTGAATCACTAGCTATGTTCCGACGAAATGCAGAGATTGTTCTAGGAGATTCTAAAGTGGACGAGTTGCTTACAGACGCTTTCCACACAGAATTTCATCTTAAATTTTTATGGGGAAGTCGTGGTGCTTGTGTTGCTGCAGAAGAGCGACATGCTAAATTTGAACAGGTGCTCACTGTCATGTCAGAAAAGTGTGAACCTCCTCAACCAAGTACACCAGCCTCACCAGCAGCTCCTGCTGTTGGAACCACTGTCTGAATTGATAGTTCTGAATGTCTGTTACGGTAGTTGTGTGAAATATGAACACTGCTAATCAGTTTTGTATAGAAATGAGGACAAATTGCATTTATGTGCAGTAACTTGCACTGGTGTGCTATGTAACAATGATGTGCAACTTGAATTGCTTCAGTCAAAAAATTACAGTTATATACCTCAATGTGCTACTGACTGAAACAAATTGTGATTCCATATTCAATTTCAGAAAAATGGGATTGGGGGAAATAAGGACTGCCATTAATTTATAAAACCAAATTTGTATTAAGGGAGAACCTGGCAGTCTTTAGGTAAGGCATGAAAGGGCCTCAGGTATGATCCATAATGGAAGGTAGAGATTTTCTTCTGCTCAAATAGAAGCCTTCACCTCTGCCAAAGCTTAGACGTAGGGAGTACTGAAAATATTATGACCCCGCTGCTGATACTGTCCATCAGCCATCAATCTGTTATTACTGTACCAAATTCCAACTCATGGATGCTTCCACTCCAGAAATGATGTATCTCCATGGGTGGGCAGAGGTCATAGACATCAGTAAAAATAATTGGAGGCATTTGTCAGAAATATCATATCAAGCAAACAAATTTATTCATTAATTTACTCCTCCTTTACAAACAAAAACAGTTCTACTGAAGTAACCTTTAGTAAGAAATGATGTTTTACTGTCAACAACCCTGTCTGAATATGGGCCAGTGAGCAGCAGACTGCATGTGCATGTAGATGACATCTAACTGCTTCTTAGGACTTCATAAAGACATACTCATATGCTTTTGGAAAGTCAGAAGAATAAAGTACCAAACACAATTATGTATTTCTGTATAAATAAACTGACAAAGTAATATGAGGCATATGTGAGAAATAAAACAATGTCCTCTAGGGGAATGCTTCTGTACTATCTGCCTGGAAGACATGTTACTATATCACAGGCAGCTCAAATATACTCTGTGCACTAGTATATTTGGAGAAGCGGCTTACTTACAAGGCATGGGGATTTTGGACTCTGTTGACAGATGAGTACTCATTTTACCTACTCTGAACTACTTCAACAACTAGAAGAGAAGCCAGATGCTCGTGGAAGGATGCTAAATTTTCTACACAGTTCTTAATCAAAACAAACATGAGAGAGTATGGTGAATAATAATAATTTTCAATTAAGACAAAGGCCTAAAATCATATTTTCACACCACACGTCACATCCACATGCCTAAACAGCAAATGGGCTGGATGTAAAGCTGTATGAGGGGCATTTCAGAGTGTTCTGTAAGACAGCATAAGAATGTATCAAATTTGAAGCCTACAGATGTAAGACCAGCAATCAAGTGCCAGGAAAAATTCCGCCTGTCCATGGACTATGACCGTGCAAGACAGTCAGAGCACTTTGAAACTGTGGGACTTTTGGTATTTTACCCACCAGAGGCTGACTGTCCTGCCCAAGCTTGCTGCAGGTCCTGCATCCATCCTGTGTTAACATACTGTAGGAGGCATTTTGAGGATGCCAGTGTTAATCTGCAGTTGCCATGAACATGACTAATACAGGTTCAGTACTGCATATGAACACAAAGTATTACTGCATTGTGTTTTTGGCATCACTTAAAGAAGAAGTGCTTTGATCTTAATGGTAATTATGATGGTTAGGGGACATAATAAAAATGTTTTGACAGTATAGATGAAACTTCTGAAGTACCCCCTATGTCAGCAAACATACCATCTTCAATATTAAGTCTCCAAATTCTGGCTACAACACTGCCAAAGTGGATGATACTCCAGCAATTATGACATTTTTTGAAGTTACTAAATTTCAGTGTGCTGTTATACAAAGTTCTTTATATTAGAGCTCATTTTACAGACATTTTACAAACTTATTATAATCATCTACATCAAATATGCTGGATGTTATTCCGCTTTAGTTACAGATCAGTTGGTAATGGATCCACTTTCAGGTTAAAAGTTACCTCTAAAATTGTGATGAGTCAATGTGTTTAATGTTTTAAGAAAACAACCCAGTAGTAGGAGAGCACAAACTTTATATGAAATAGAAAACCTTTTCGTAACATGGGTAACACTGATGTGATAGTTATTTTGATAGAGAGAAAGTCTTTTGCCTTCATTTGCAAACATAAAATCAAAATGTTTTCTGGTTTTGTACACAATATGTTGTGATGTTAGTCTTTTCTGTACCTTGAGGGATGACAGATTTATATTTCTGTCAAACTGCCAGAACCTAGTTGACAATCATAAAAAGGCACAGAATCACTTCAGTGGGGAACAAAATCATCCCAACTTGGGTAGCTGGACCAGGCGCTGAGTAATGCTGGAAACAGCTGACTAATTTTATGGCCGTACATTCACCTTCACGATCCCATGGTTCCCAGCCCCCCCCCAAGAATGGACCCGCTTTCCTGCCAGACATATGTTTGTAGTTGTGCAGAAACAAGCAACATTTGATTCATCTCATTCTCTTATCTAATGACAGTTAATAATATTATATTTCCTTCTATCTGTAGCAGTTTTCCTCTTAAACCTTACAGCAGAAGATAAGAACTTTTTAGCATTAAATAATATATTCAGTATCTTTCTTTCTTCCAGTATATTACCATTCTTATTTTATTGACAACATTCTGAACAATGTTTCTGCAGGAACTCAAAATCAAGGAAAATTTCATCTGACTCCGCCTAGTGGAGTTACACTCCACATATGATACATACAAATGAACCTGATGCTCTAGCATAAACTTATTCGTATCCTGCCTGAAGGAAACCTACTCTTGTACAAGACAAACTCACACATGAGTACTGTAAGAGATTACCCAGTCCCTCTTATCACCAGTCCCAACTCACCAGGGTAGGTGGCAAATGATGCAGTGATTGCATATACCAGAAGAGCCATGCTTTGGCTTAGACATCATAACAATTTCCCAGCAGCTGTACAAGTAGGATATTCATATGTTGTTCCCATTTCAAGATGTTTCAGCAGTAAATTATTTGGCTCCCATTAATGCAGATATCACTACACAAATGTTTTTGACTGATCTGTGACATATTGGGCCTATTTCAAATCACTCAGAATATTAATGTGTTGTTTATGATGCTGCAGTTTAATTTGCTTGGTACTGAAAATGTATTTATAAGACTTAACTGTTAAATTTTATACGTATAATAGTATGAGCTTCATTTATTCCAGTAGTTACAAAAACAGTAAGACCTTTTTTTCTGCAATGAATTTGAATTGATTTGTGTTCTTTAAAAAGTATATAATGAAAGAGTTGGAAGCTTCTGGACTTCAGTATGATCTCAGCTTATTACTACATAATTTCATATACTTACTAATTTAGTGTGATTCAATCATATTAATGCCATACAGTCATTTTCTCAGATATTCCATAATATGGACCACAGTCTGTTACACAGGAAAACAGCTCAATCCTTGATTCATAAACTCAATTTTGTATGAGTTATGGCATAACACTATTATGTAGTCGGACATTTTTGTTAAGTTATTATGCTTCCCGCTCCACATTAATAGCAACTGAGGCTGGGTTAGTGTTTTTTTTTCCTGAGTAACAGACAGCAAAGAGTCAAGTATGTTACAGCTTGCACAGTCTGTAATGTATTTTGTTTCATAATCATAATCACAGTTCATTGTTACATTAAAATGATTCATTCCAGGAAATGCTGGAGTCTGAACTATGCTAGTGAGATAAGTACAATAGACCACTGCAGGTCGCGGTGCAAGGGGCGAGAAGGCCTACCCCTCATTCATTCATTCATTCATTCATTCATGCTAGTGAGATATGAAGTTCCCACAGTTGTATCAAGATGTCCTCCAGGTTGTTTGGGTATCAGTACATATTTCAATTGGTGAAGGAGACGAATTTAAGATTACAGTCTCCTAGGATGTAATATTGCATACATATACCAATCTTAATGAGGCAGCAGTTTCCCTTGAGATGTTGGTACTTCTGTATCAAACTACAAGGTGTCATGTTCTAGAAAACCTTAGTCTTCGTACTGACAGCTGTGAGGACTTCATACTTGATGTTTATAATAACTGTTTCTTTCATATTACACATTTGTGTTATACATGTTGAAAAACACTTCATGCCCACATGCTATTGTTGTATTGTTTAAAGAAGGGGCATTCATTCATAATTTAATTTTTAAGAATGTGATTTATGGCACTGGTTTCCTTAATGTTATAACTTTGACTAACTTTCTGTGATTAGTATCAACAACTGTAATTGAAATTTGCAGTCACCTAGGAAAGCAAGTCAGCTCTAACGGGAATATTCATTTGTTCATTCATTCTGTAGCCACCCGCACAACGTACGTACATCTGCCACGACTGTCACTCGAGCTTGAGTTCTTTATCTCAGGATATGGGTGCTTCGGAGATGGGAGTGGAACACACTTTGGGGTTAATAAATCAGGGATCTCCAGAACACACTGTGTATTGCAGTTTTAATTTAAAATTTAATGATCAATATTTAAATTGTCCTCCAAGCTAGCCGCTCCGTCCATCCTACTTGCTACCCCTACTGTAAAACACTTCTCTGTTCTCTGTCTACATTTCAACAACCCTCCTCCTCCGCTCCTTATAACCGACTGCCCTCTCTTTACAAGTCCCCCAGTGGCCATAAAACAAAACAAAATAAGAGAAAGCGAAGGGTCGAACCTGACATCTGTCCTACATACGTATTTTTCGAGATGCTCTTCAAGGCACAGGAGCAGGGAACCCAAGACCCCTCCTGGCCGGTCTCTCACAAGGTCAGTTCATGGGTTTATGACACTAGGAGCAAAGGGGACGTTAGGGACAATAGTGACACCCGAAGCCTAAGGAGGACAATAGCTGAAATACAACTAGATGGTCCCGGGATGGTATCTCGTGGGAGGAGGGTCTCTCGTGGTGTTGAACAATGCATAAGTTGTTCATTCCCTTAATTAAATAATTTTGGCGAGGGACATACGGTTACAATACACATTCCATGGATCCTTACATGGCTAGAAAACTAGTGGCTATAGAAACGGTCAATGACAACAAGACAGTCATGTCAGTAACATAATTACAAATTGATTGTACTTAATCTGTCACAGTTACCCATATTATCTGAGACAAATCATAATGAGTAAGTCATTAAACAGTTATAAAATATATATATAAAATCATGCATCATACTAATCTGAAACAAGACTACAATGATCAGATATGAGAATATGCTCCTAGCTGTCCAGTGTAAATAGTCAAAGATTGTTAATTAATATTGAAATTAAAATATTCTTCCAATGAGTAAAATGAATTTAAAAGAAGAAATCTTTTATCTAAATAGTTTAATTACAGCCATCAAAATGCAGCTGTAAGGGTTTTAACGATTCACAGTTCACTTACTAGGCATGGACTAAGGAATAGAATATTATCAGATATTGGTAACATTAAAGTAGATTGCTACAAAGGTCAAAACTTCGCATACAGAAGTCCTTTATGATTTCTTTAATTCAACGCATCTAAATTTTGCGCAGTGTTACATGATGA